GGGGAAGGGAGGGAGCGAGGGCAGCCTGTTCCACGTCGGCAAACCGGGGACAGCCTACGCGCGGGTGTCAATGGCAGACCGCACCGGGAGATTACCCTCACAAAGGGCCCGGGGCGGGCGCGCTTTGAAAGGTGTTCGATCCCCGCTTCCGAGACCTTCGGCCATGTATTCATCGCAGATTATACTCACAAGGACGCGGGGACCGATGCTTTGTTACGGCGCAGGACCGGGAGGAGGGGAACACCCCCAGTATTGACTGGAAACCTCGTGTCAGGCGCCAATCGTGAGATCGAACGCCAGCGCCAAACTCCCTGAAAGGGAAGGGAAGGGTCTGGTGTAACACTGCCAGCTCAGAAGAATTCACCTGACAAAGAGGGGAGACGTATTTGCAAGTAAATCGTCATCAATTTTCATCCCAACTACGACCGCAAAGGGTAAGCGGACGTTGTGGATGGGCTGGCGAACACGGATTAATCTGAAGAACGTCGCAAACGGCCTCGGGATCCTGCAAGGGCTCCGGCGCGATCTTTCCCACCACGCACCAAGCACGGTTCATGGTGGTGGGCTGCTGCTCCCGGGGTCTCCGCGCTGGGACACGCTCGTGTCTTTGCAAGACGATGATGTGCACTTGGAGATGCCTTCTTAGCGTAGACTCCCCTGAATCGGTATCCAGAAGGATTTCCCTAGGGCTGCATTAAGAACAGAACGGCGATGGGCGATCGTCGCGTTTTAGTGCCATGGCTGACCAAATTCAGAATTTTCACTTTGGTTTGGCACACAATCCCTTCAGCTGTACTCAAACACAGCCCTACAGATTGTCATACGCCTTTTTGCCGAGATCCAAGTGAGTTCTTCTGAGCTGAGAGACTTTGCCACGAACAAAGAACCCTCTGTGGGCACCGGGCAGCAGAAGCGGCCGTTCACAAAGATGGCAGCGCCTCCAGTCCCGACACAGAAACAGCCTTTGAACGGAAAGAACAGCCCTCTCTGTAAGAGAGGCCGGTATTGCAACAGCACTCAGATGGCTGAGCAGGGCACAGATGTAGGAATGAGCTGGACTTGCTACTTGCAATTATTTATTCAGTACGGCGAAATTCTTGAGCGCCGACTTCCCTTATTTGCACCCGTATTTTACCTGTACTTAGGATAGCCAGCAGCTGCCCGGGTACAGCTAATAACGCACACGTCTTGCAAGGAGACTTTCAAAGGCAGAAACAAGCAACAGGTACCTTTGTAAAAAACGTGATTCCAGCTTTTCCCCAGAGGGAACGGGGGCCAGCCCAAACTCAACAGATGGAAAAGGAGCTCTCAGGTCCTGCTGGCAGCTCCGCCGTCGCCCTCTCTCACGACCACCGTACGCGCGTCTCCCCTGTGGCTGTGGCCTCTGCCGGGTACCGTCTTCACGGCGGGCTGCCCCTCGGCCCTCGCGGCTAGTCCGCTTCTGCATTTCAGGCGTTTTTAGAGATAAAACACTGCTGTTGAGATTCACACCATCCCGCATGTGAAATACTCCCTGGACCGGGCAGCAGACGCGCGGCCACTCGGATGCGCTGGGGAAAGTGCCGGATCCCGTGTTCACGCAGCGCCTACGCAGGCCGCAAACACGGAGCAGGTCTGCCACGTCGGACGATGTGCCGGACCGCATGCGGGCCGGTATTTTTGTCTGAGGACTTCCCAGTCACCACGTCCACATGCTCCCGCAGCCTACAGAGCAGCTCCCTGCTTTGTCAGCTCCCTTCTCTGCGAGCATCCCCGAGGAACCTTGGCTAAATCCATTTGCAACAGGTTTTCTTTCAGTGGCTCCTTTTCTTGGGGTTAATTTATGGCCAAGAGATAGGGTTCTGGTATCTGGCAGGCTCCCAGAGAGAAATCCTGACCCAGCGTTAACTGTGGAATTCGGTGCTATTGAATCTCAAGCTTTCACTCTTATTTTTCTATTTGCGGAAGATAACGAGCGTATGGGATAGGCGAGTAGCAAGGTTCAGTGTTCCTACAATTATTTTTCTCCATCTCTTCTGGGGATGTTTAGCCTTCACGGACGCTACTTTCCATTATCCTTTTAGTTGCTTTCTTAAGGAATGAGCCTTACGTGAGCCCGTCCCACAATTATCTGCCCGCCTGCCTCCCTAGAATTAACTCCTGAACTCCCGAGACGCCCACACCGTGAAGACGATGACATTCCCAAAATTTTTGCGGAAATCAGCGTCTGGCTGGAGAGACGCTGGAGTCTCTCCACCACAGGGACAGGCTGGCAGCCTTCGGCTGCCGGCCAGCACCCGCTCGGAAGCAGGCACAACGCTGCTGTTCCTTGCTCCTTTGCAGCCGCCCTAGGTGACCCGCAGGGCGGAGAGGGGTGGAAACTGTGGGAGGAGGAGGAGTGCTAGGGACAAAGGGCACAAATCCGGAGGGAAGCGGCACTCTCCTGACTCGCTCCGCCCGCAGAACAGTTTGCATCGCGGGCAGATGCGGCTCATTTAACAGCGCCCTGCCCATCCAGACGCGGGGTCAGCAGGCTGCGGCGCCGGGGGAAGGGCGAACACCGACTTTTTCAGCAGGCTGCGGCGCTGGCGAACGGCGTAACACAGACGCAAATGTCATCCTGGTAAAGATCAGCGGGAGGGCGAATATAAAAACTGTTGTCATGGTAGCACATCTCTATTCCGTTAGCTAAATGCCTCTTCTTCTTCTCCTCTGCCAGCGCTGATGAGCTCTTTCCTCATGCAGACAGTCAAGCATCGCAACAGGTTGCCCGGAGAGGCTGGGCAGTGGCCACCCTCGGGGGCTTTCAGGAGCCAGCGGGCTAAAGCCCCGAGTTAACCTGGTTTGGCCGCACGGCTGGCCCTGCTTTGAACAGGAGGTGGGACTAGAGACCTCCTGAAGTCTCTTCCAACCCAAACTAGGCTATGATCCTACGCGATTTCATCTCTTTAGTGGCATAGAATCATCGAGGTTGGAAAAGATCTGTAAGATCGAGTCCGACCGTAAGCGTATCTACAGCTCTGCAGTCTGGAGCCGCGAGCACGTAAGGCACGACAGTGAAGCAGGACCCACGGGGAGAAGGGGTCTCTGGTCTAACCGGGAGGATCAATAACTGCACGAGCTGGCTCCTACCAGTTCTCACAAGGGCTGCATGGCCAAGGAACCACCAGTACCCGAGCCTCAACCGTTTAACGTGGGTACTGGGACCTATCCAGTGCCTTGTCTACAGAGCAGATCGATTCCCAGTAAAGCGGGAGCGCTTCGATTCCACGCCACACAGGTCCGTAAGGGATATGACAGGTGAGTAAAGTGCAAATTGTGAAGGGAAATGTTCAAAATAGCGAACAGAGAGACCAGGGGATGCGTATCCACCGAACTGCAGGAAGAAAGGGAGGACTCGATGATTAAGATGAGAACAGCCGCCAGAAGTACATGAGAAAAACCCACTGGAGGTGAATGGGGACACAGAAACTAAAAAAAAGAGATTAAAGCAAACAGTAAATCACATCCAATCCTGACAACGAAAGAGCGTGGTCCTTGCCCGAGCCTGACCGTTCTGTGGGTCCGGCCTACTCAAAGGGGTGCTCCTGGCCCGAGAGCCTGCCGGCGCTACGACACTCACCTGCATCCAGCAGCAGTTTGACCGTCAGGTAGTCATCAGCCAGCACCGCGTAGTGTAGAGCTGTGCAGCCCTTGAAATTGGCTCGGATGTTCAAGCGGTTGTTGAAGTCGTCCTCCCGGGTTACAAGGACTGCAAGGGGAAGAAGAAGGAAAGCTCAGCTCACCGAGACAACGTAAGGAACGGCTTGCCTGAGGGTGCACCAGCGGCGCGGGCCACCGCCGCGGCTCTGGGAGCTTGGTAAGGGCCTTTTCCAGGAGACAATCAGGAGCCCAGTGGGGTTCCCGGTGGCTATCGTCCCCACTCCGCTGAGCAGCAGCGGCGATGAAGACAACCCGGCACCCACAAATCCCAGTGACCGCCTCCGCAGCGCCCCGAAGACCTCTCAGCCTTGTTCCAACCACAGCCGCTTTGCACCTTCAAAGTGAATTTGGGATTCAATGCAAGCCAGCAATCCAGTTCTGCCTTTTCTCCCCCCTTTTACTGCAGAACAACCTCTCGCTGCTTCCTCCCCCCCGCCTTCCTCCCCCAGCCAAACCACGATCCCAGCGGTCGGCACCTACTTCAGGCTGGAAGCACCAAGCACCAAACCCTACAAGCCAGAACCAAGAGAAAAGAGCTGGAGAGGCCAAGGGATGAGAGCGCTGCGGGTCCTCGGGACAGCAGAATGCCCAGCGGATCTCATCGCAGCCACGCTAAGCTTCCCTTGTCATAAAATCACAGAATCGTTAAGGTTGGAAAAGACCTCTGAGATCATCGAGTCCAACCGTTAACCCAGCACTGCCAAGGCCACCACTAAACCATGTCCCCAAGCACCACATCTACACGGCTTTTAAATCCCCCCAGGGATGGGGACTCAGCCCCTGCCCTGGGCAGCCTGGGCCAGGGCCTGACAGCCCTTTGGGGAAGAAGTTTTTCCCAATCCCCAACCCAACCCTGCCCTGGCGCAGCTTGAGGCCGTTCCCTCTCGTCCCCGCTCCGACTGCTGGTGTGCCCATCTCCACCAGGAGCTGCCTCCTCTATTCCACGCTTCCCAGAAATGTCAAGAAGCAGCCGTTTAAAAGCAGGTACCCTCCTAAAAATAATTCCTTTGTTAACTGAAAAGTAACACGGGTTGAAGTGCTGTGGAGCGCGATACTCGGCTCAGCGCTGCTCCTGCCCGTACCTCCCTGCCGGCCGTCTTCGGGCTGGGGCTGAAACCGGCTGGATCTGTGTTTGCTCAGCCACCGGCACGGTGTGCTCCATGAGGTTATTCCTCCACGCTACCGGGATGGGAATAATTCATAATAACGCATTTTACAGCTCAGTAGAAAGCCTGGAATCCCCTGAGCAAATGCAATTACACCGAGCCCTGGCAGGTTTTGTGAAATCAGACCTAGAAATTGCGATGTTTCTCTGAAGAGAAACCGACGCTTTCTAAAGCTGATTAATTATAATTATTTCTTCCCTTGAGCTCTGCTCTACTGAACGCCAACACGCACAGACACCCTGCAAAAGGGAAAGCCCGACGGCTTGTGCTTGCCGGCCAGAGCGCAGCCGGGCCGAGGCATCCCAAGGAGGACAGAAGGACCGTGTGGCCAGACAGACACGCTGAAACATGGCACGCAGGTGCCAAGTCAGAGCTTGGACCGCAAAGGGGGAAGACCAGGGACGGCGTTACGGCGACCTGGTGTACGGAGGCAAGGAGCAGACCAGCCCGCGCGTCTGGGCAGGGCCCCAGCACCCGGGGACCCAGCGCCCCGCAGCCGGTCTAAGGATCAGGCTTTAGGAAACCTCCTGGGTTTGAAGCCTTTCGCTCTAGTCACCAGCAAAAACAAATAGTGCAAAAAAGAGTGGCTCTTTTCAGGTATCGAAGGAAATACCGGGCTGCTGTTAGCCGGGGAGGGAGGCTTACGGGAGCAGAGACGGCATCTTGGCAGCATCCGTCCTGAGAGCCTTCGGCACAGCGGAGAGAGAGAAGCCCGACCTAAAGCCTGGCCAGAGGGACAACCAAAGCCACCAAAGAGGTCAAGTACGGCACAGTCAAGAGCGCGATACGGGCACCGCTCTCATGGCTGACGGGAGGGCCGATCCCTCTCTCAACGTCAGCGTTCCCCATCTTCACCGGCTCTTTGATCAACAAGGAGACGCCATCGCTCAGGGCTGCGGGCTTTGCCAGCTGCCGCGCTTTCTATCTGACTTTGGAGGAAAGGGAGGCTGTCGCACCCATGCCAGAGCTCGTGGGGACCAGTCCGCCTCTCCCTCGGCTGGGGGACAGGCAACAGGGCTTTTCTCCCCAGCTTTGGGAGATGAAGAAGCCCCACCAGCACGCAGCCCCACCACGGAGCCTAAGGGATGGCCGGCATGTGCCGTCGCCTGTTGAAGGAACGGGTGGGCCAAATTCTGCTCCTGGAGGCAGGTTCAGCTCCCTGGTGAATGGGTACAGAACCAAAACTCAGCAAGCCCACGTTCAGGGACTTTGCCATCCAGAATTTGAAAGGGCTCTGAGCACCCAAGACTTTGTCACAGCGAAGCAAGCGGGCCCGGAGGCTGGATCCCCTGCAGCGCGGTCGCCACGTTCCCTCCGAAGAGCTACCGACAGATTTCCAGCAGATTTGAAAAGTTCAGAAGAGAAAAACACTGTCATGAATACCTGATGCCGTCCTAGCCCGGCATCTCCGCTAATGAACCGCAGTACCTCCAGGAAGATCAATTAATGCCCTGGCTCCTTTCCTTTCCTGGGTCTTTTCTCCAAGCGGGCAGGGGGAGTATGTATATTTATTTATTTGTCGTCATTTCCTACCCAGGGAGGAGCAGGATAATGAACTGCGTGCGTCAGGGAAGATGAATCTGAGATACTAGGGAGCAGTGCAGTAAAGAGATTAAAGTGTTATTATTGTTGGGTTTTTTCCCCCATGGTCCGTTGTGACAGCTTGGCCGTCATCTGTAAAAAATGTCTCAGAGAGAGATAATCATCGGAAACTCAATAAAGCGTCAGGGGAAGCCTCGTCTACCATCAATCACTGGGTGCCTGGAAATTTTCAGCCCTCTGTCTCCCTTCCTGCCATCCATATAAATGTCTGTAATATATTTTGTGCAGTGTTTGTGGAGCATACCCTCTCGATTTGGATGTTTTTATGAAAAAATATTTATACACGAAATATGTAAATGGCTAAAAAAAAAGTAAAAAACAAAGGCAGTTTCTCTCTCTCCCTCTCTTTTTAAAAATGCAACTGAATTTATTCTTTTTAATAAAACATGTCAACCAAAGAATTAATGCAACTTCTTACTGAGTGGCCTTATCTTTTCTTCACCCCCAAAATATATAACATTACAGAGGGATGAATGCAGACAAAAACAATTAACTTTATTGGTTGATATGCTTTGTCTTAAATAAAGTCTACGTACATGCATTATGTATTGGCATTCCATTGTTCATTTTTTAATGTTGTTTCATACATTTCGCATCCGCCGCTACAGCGACCTGATGGATGCGTGGCCTCACTTCCACCACGGAGCGGGCCTGCTCCACGGGCGGGTTACGGTGAGGGATGAGAGCGGAGAGCTTTTAAAAATAAAATAACGCCCTGTCAAAACTGTCCCCTCGCTGCTGCATCTTCTTACCTCGACCCGTGTTTTACGGAAGGCTCAAATATTACAGCTTCGTTAGACATTACAGAGCTTTCAGCTCTCGGCGGTGAGGCGAAAAGCACCGACAGACCAACGGATAATGGCACCGTGTGATTTCGGATCTGCAAACCGTGCAGGGCAAAGGGAGGCTCTGGGCAACCTGCGTGGCTCCTCACAGCGGCTAGGAAAAGGTTTACCTTCAAAGGAGAAGGCCAGAGCACACAAATGCAGCAGGCCCCGGGAACGCGAGTCCCGGCAGCTGGCGGAGCTCTGGCAGGGGCACGGGGATGGCTGGGACGCGTGCCGTGGTCTGCCGGCTCAGGGCCGAGGCCGGCGCGGCGCTCGGATGGGGAAGAGGCTTCTGGAACGGGGAAGAAGCTTCTGGAATGGGGAAGGCAACAACCGGGGACGTTTTAGCAGGGGTCAAGTCCTGCCAGCCCGGGAGCTGTGAGCCTGGGGACCAGCAGCATCCCTGAAACGTGCAGCTGGCCGCTCTGAAGCACAGCTGGGCACCGAGAAGCCAGACATCCCCCCTGAGATTCCATCGGTAATCACAAAACCAAGAAAACTTAACCACCACTTACTGTCATAAAAATTGGAAATGGTCTGGGAAATTTAAACTGGTCTGAATAAACAGAGCAGGTCTCTGATCTAGTTGAAGAACCATAGAATCACAGAATCATTTAGGTTGGAAAAGACCCTCAAGATCATCGAGTCCAACCGTTAACCCAGTGCTGCCAAGGCCAACTACACCATGAATCATTTAGGTTGGAAAAGACCCTCAAGATCATCGAGTCCAACCGTTAACCCAGTGCTGCCAAGGCCACCACTAAACCATGTCCCCAAGCACCACATCTCCCCGGCTTTTAAATCCCCCCAGGGATGGGGACACAGCCCCTGCCCTGGGCAGCCTGGGCCAGGGCCTGACAGCCCTTTCCATGAAGAAGTTTTTCCCAATACCCAACCCAAACCTGCCCTGGCGCAGCTTGAGGCCGTTCCCTCTCGTCCCATCGCTTGTTCCTGGGGAGAAGAGACCGACCCCCCCGGCTCCAGCCTCCTTTCAGGTGTTGTAGAGGGAAGACGTCTCTGCCCACGGCAGGGGGTTGGATTAGCTGACCTTTAAAGGTCCCTTCCAACCCAAACCCTTCTGTGATTCTAAGTCTGCATCAACATCCCAGCAACGGGGATAACGTCAGGGAGAGACTGGAACTTGAGACATCGGCCAAGAAAAACCATAACAAGATGAAATGACGCTGCAGAAAATTTCCTCGTTTTCATGGAAAGACTTCAAGGGCTGAACGCTAGCATTAACGCCGGCCCAAAAACCAGCAGCGATTGCAACCAGTTACACCATTCGGGGTTATCTCAGCTGGACAAGTCTGTCTTTATTTTATATCTACTTGTAAGAGCTAGAGGAAGGCTCCTGGTGGAATACGCTGCTTTGAACCCTCCTCCTTCCCCAGCAAGGGGCTGCACGTGGGTCACTGGGATCACGCTCCTATCTACAACTGTGTGTTACGTTCTGGCGATATAAAACCAGGTTACCGCAAGGACGTCGAAGGATTGCTTCTCATCAACATCTACATAATGTTTTCTCTCATCTTCAGACGTACGCTCACCACGTACCATCAGTTACTCTGCATTTAAAAGGAAGCTGAAGCTAGCTCTTAAAAAAAAAAAACGAGGTCAAATTTCCATTTCAAAGCCAGGAAACAAAATTTGGGGACCTGAAAAGCAAATGCAGGTAGCTGCACACAATCAGTATTACCTTCTAGAGAATGGAGGCCTTTTTCCTTGGCAGTCTCGTACACGCTGCTGAAGTCATCTCCAAGGTTTGGATCTGCATTAGCTGCCAGCAGGATCTTCACCACGCTGTTACAAATTAGAACAAAAATAAGCAGTTAAAGGCTTTTGGAGACTGAGAAGGGGGACAGTGCTCAGAAAGCCCTCCTCAAACACTCCCAGCTAGCGAAGGGAAGTTAAACCGATGACCGTAATCGAACGTTTCAACAAATACAACCACACCGGCATGTTCTGAAACCCGTGAGATGGGAGAGGCCCTCGGGGCAGGGTGACACTGCAGGGAAACACAGCCCTCCCCGGGAGACCCGCGCAGAACGCGCTCTTAGCGCGAGTCATATTGGTGGTCGCGGTCCACCACGGGAATCAGTTACGTCCCCATAACTTTGGGGGTCTGGATCAGCAGTGGAAACTGTCCCCAGCTGCAGAAAATGCAGTCGGAGCCAGGTCTTGGCTCCAGGGCTGTCCCTGCCCCTGCAGAAAGGAAGATTCTTGTAACACTGTAGGTTAAGGGAAGCAAAACTGAGTTGTGCCGTTACTTCTGCTTTTGGGATGCCGTCACTACAGCATCTAAGCCTCCTTTGATAAAGGGACTATCCTGCCAAGACATGAATCGCAGAATCGTTTAGGTTAACCCTTAAGGTTAAGGTCATCGAGTCCAACCGTTACCCCAGCCCTGCCAAGGCCACCACTAAAC